CTGGGCTGGAGCGCGGAACCTGCCGGCGGAGAATCGTCTTGGCGTCATGGCTCTTACGTAAGAAACACCTTGTAAACAACCCCAACACCAACATTACCCTCAAAACCAGAAATCCAGCCGTAACCAAAGCAGTGTATTTTGTATCTCAGCGTGGTGGTTCTTGTAGTTGCAAAAAATGCAAGATTGTGATAAACTTTGCTTACTTGGAAAGTAAATTATAAGAACCGTCTTAGTCACTTACTGTATGCTGGTTTATGTTTCTTTAACAGAACCACTGTTTAAGCAGTGGAAAAGGCTAGATCAGTTGGCTTCTTCCATGTGTTCAAATTTTGTTTTCATTGGCACAGGAGCTGAGCCAATGACTCTTGGCTCCCCAACATCTCCAAAACCAGGAGCTAGTGCTCAATTTCTTCCTGGATTCTTGATGGGTGATTTACCTGCACCAGTGACTCCGCAACCACGTGCTTTAAGTGGCCCCTCAGTTGGTGTAACGGAAATGAGGTCTCCGCTACTTGCAGGTCAGAATTCATTAAGTGCTGAAAAATTGTCCTGAAAGTAAAAATTTGGGTTGACTTACCGCTCTACATGACTGTTGTAGACTTGAATTCTTGGAGTCTTATAGCTTGCTATATATGAACTCAACTCGTGGAATAAATGGTGAACTCGAGTGTATTCAGTAGAGTTTGGCTAAATTCTTCAAAGTAGACCTAAGTTTAATAAATGTTTTAAACGTGGCAGTTTTGGTATGGGGAAAGGTTGCTTTTACAAGGAACCTCTCCTAATATAAAAATCAATTTGTACAGCTCTTTACAAGTCAGTTGCACATACAGCTATCAATGTTTTCTCTTTGTTTAAAACAGAGGTGTCTGCTGGCAAACTGAGTTCTTTGCAATGAATTCTAATAAGTCAGTTACAGATTGTCAGACTTCTAAAAAGTGGATAGAGGGAAAACTAAAAAACAGGTCTCAATTAGTATCTGGTGGTTGTACGTACAGACTAGATGTCTGATGTAATTGTGCTGGAGTAGTGACTTTTCCTAGTTGTAGATGCTCATCTCTTTCCAATCACCTAATTGATCTGACTAAAAGTCCTTACCTGTGTTTCTGAGATGATGGTATTATATGTCTGGTTTCTTCTCTGAGAAGTATGAGTGAGTAGTTAACAACTTCGTTGATTTATTTCATGTCATGGGTGATCTTGGCCTTTGTACTAAATCGTTGGCATAATCTAAATATCTGATGATCTTAGTGTGCTAATCATTCTGAAAGAAAAGTTGAGGGTTAAAGTACTGCAGGATAATTTTAGATATTCTCTTCATTCAGTTTCAAGTAGGGTGGTTTGTTGGTCTCCTGCTTCTTGTTTTCATTTTTTCTTGGAATACAAGCCTCTTCGGGAAACTATTTATGAAATTGAAAATAATCATATGAATTTCACCTAATCGTTTTTAGAGGGTGTTATTACAGCCTCAGAGTATCAATTCTAGAAAAGGGGAACCAATAAGATACTAACATAGGCCTCCCAAAAAGAGTGGTTAAGTATGTCACTTAAAACTTTGATGGGAGAGTGCTTTGTATAATACACTGTAATGGTTCTTGGATGTGTTAAACAGTTCAGAGAGCAGTCTTGAAGCTCAGAATTTAGGATTGAAAAGTACTTTGGAAAAGCTGAATTTCCAGATGTTCTGCAAGTGAAAACTGTTACATCAAAATACATCAAATACAAAAAATATTTGCAAACCCTCAGTGAAACAGTCAACATTCTTTCATGGCTGAATTTACTGTTGAAGTTTCAGTGGTAATTTTAAGTTTCAAGAACAAGTAGCAGCAAGTGAAATTACAAATTTCCTCATGTTCTTCATTTGTTCCTTTTAATTGCAGGAAGTTCTCCCCCACAACCAGTAGTCCCTTCGCATAAAGATAAAAGTGGTGCTCCACCAGTTAGAAGCATATATGATGAATTATCTAGTCCTGGACTTGGATCTACGCCTCTAACTTCAAGACAACCAGTAAGTGGCTTAGTTACTGGCCTATTCTTAGCAGAAGATGTGAGGTAGCTTACTGCTTCAGTGAATTCTTTAACTCAGTTGTATAAACTGCTGTAGTAAAGTGACTGGTGAGTCTTCAGATCATGCTGTTGCTTAGTCTGGTTGTTTGGTGTGCCTACTCTTGTGCAGTCTAAATCAGAGCTGCAGTCGTGGAGTGATCTCCTGTCGTTACTGATTTTTGAGACTGTAGAGACTGAAAAATACAAATCATGGCTCTGTTATCCTTTGTACAGGACAAATGCAGGCTTGTTGCAGCTTTTCACCTTGTAACTTTATTCGGCTGCTGATTGCCAGAAGGGTCCAAATATGCATTATCTTTTCTTTTAGTGGACAATAGAGGCACATACTGGAATAGAAGGAATTTTGTGCTGAGTAAAATACATAAGCAGAATTTGAGCAGGGAGGTGGGATTAATTTTGAAAGAGTAACAGTAAAATTTTTAGAAGGTCATTCTAATAAGCTCCGCTACTTACCTCAACTGAGCAGTAGGTGCTTTTTCGGTGAACGTGATGCTTTTGATGCAAAGTGAAGGCCTTTCACTGAATGAACAGGTTTTTTTGAGTGTTGCCTTCTGAAAAGTTTATTCTGAAAGTTCAGGAATCCACTACTGTCTCAAAGGACTAGATATTTATGAAAAAATAAAAGATCAGCTATCAGAACATGTGTTGCTAGGCCTACTGGTACTCCAGTTTGATCTTGTGCCTAAAAAATGCCGTGGTTCAGGCTAAAAATACACTAAAACTGTTTCAGATATTGAAATCCTTCTATGTTAAAAAGAAAATAACTACTAGCAGCTATAACTTTGAACTATACTTCAGTGCAGTTGCACTTAGTAGTTGAGAGGGAAAGTAAGTCAGGGATGAGGAATACAAGTGGAGATTATGCTCCCGTGATTTCTAAGTCTTTTAGACAGTGAAAATCAGATGCTGGTAACTTTTGATAGTGGTGTGCTTTCAGCCAGCATGCACATGAATATGTGAATTGCTATACTACAGCAATAGTGAGGTGCCTATTTTGAAATAGTTAAACAGTAAGGTTTCTGAGTAATGATACCTAAAGCTACTTGGCTTTTCAAAGTATACGTGATTGGTGTTAGGTAACAGATTTTTCAGTTCCTATTACCTAACGCTCACCCGAAGCCTAAATAAGCTTTCTTCTGGTATGCCAGTAGCTCTTTGTTGTTAGGTCATCAAATACTGTAGACAGTCCCTGTATCCTGTTGCTTGTGGTGCTTCCCTTATGTAGTTAGCTCTACACTCCCATACTATGTTTGATACTTGCGTTTAAGCCTCTGATCAGGGAAGTTAACTGCCTTCTCTTCTAAGGCTTAGTAATCAGTTGGAAATTCCAGAATGTGATAGTTGAGTCCTACTGGCTGTCCAGGCTGTGTGCTAGAGTGTAAAAACATTGTCACATCACTTTTCATTAATAACTTTTAATAATCTTGTTTTGAATATACATGTAAATGTCTGTTCTTACTCTTAAAAGTTAGGAGTAACTTGAGGCAAACAGTTAATATTCTTGCTTGATGCTTAAGTTATGTGAAAGTGATCTCTTCGATCTGAGAAGCGTACCTGTCAGAATGATTTGTTACTTTCTGTATTTTAATCAGACCAGCTTTTCTCTGACACAGAGCCCATTAGTTGGAACTATGCAATCAACTTCTGGAACAGGTAGGTGCCCTGTCAAAATATATTATGTACTTTCTTACTGCTTTCCTTAATACACAAAAATCATCACTGTTCAAGGTACATCAACTCCTTGCTAATTCGCGAAGGGTTTGCATCTTTATTTACTAGCTTTTCAAAAGGTATGTGGATGTGAATAGGAAATACTTCTCCACTCTCAGATTGAGTGAATTTCAGTCAGCTTATTCTTTATTCAAAATTTGTTGTTGATCTGAGCATAGAAATATTTGTACTTGAATGAAGCAGCTGAGGTTGATGGGTTGGCTTCCATCTTCATAAGGTTTCGTGTCTTCTGTATGAACCCATGGCTGCTTGCTAAGCTTAATTCTGTGTTGTTCCTGTTTGGCTTCTGTGTTAAGCTGCTGGTGTTTAGGGGTCAAGGAGAAAGCTAGGTTACTAGGCATAAAATTTACTAGCATGCTTGCAGACGTGAAGTTTGGATTCACTTACCATTTGTCTGTGTCTGCAAATAAATCTCCATCAAACTCTTCCATGTACAAGTGAAATGCTTGATACTGAATTTATTCTTTTACTGTAGGCTCTTAATCTTATCTGTCTTGCAAAAGTAACTTGTTAAACAATGCCATTTGAATTTAACAGCTTCAGGTATGTTCAGTCCTGCAAGTATTGGGCAGCCTAGGAAGACTACTCTATCTCCTGCTCAGCTAGATCCTTTTTATACTCAGGGTGATTCCCTGACTTCAGAAGATCAGCTTGATGACACATGGGTAACTGTATTTGGGTAAGTTGATTTCCAAAGTATTAGAAAAATCGTGGGTGAAGTCTTGGCAGCGTATGGAAAGAAATACTTGGGCTTTGCTGTTGTCTGGCATTCCTCGGTTCTGAAGGAAATACAACTGTGGTTAAAGCCAGCAAAGGCATATATTTTAGTGAACCACCTTAACTTAAGGTGCACGTTAATTTTTGCAAGTTAGAAAGGCAGTATTCTACCACTGAGGTGTGTGGTGAAGTAAGAATGGCTAGAAGATAATGTTCCTCACGTCACTGCTTCAGAAATGGCATTAACATGCTGGTCTCTTTTGGATTTCTAAAACCTCTTCATAGGTTTGTATTTTAGCACCAAAATTCTTAAGCTACTCCTTATAATTTTTTTTAGTATTTTTTTCTGTCTTTCAGATTTCCTCAGGCATCCGCTTCATATATTCTTCTGCAATTTGCTCAGTATGGGAACATATTAAAGCATGTGGTATGTCTTAGTTTGAGATTTGTTTCTGAAAATATTCTGGCTCATCCTTTAAAAGGCTAAATTTCACAATTGTCACTTAATCTGGCACAGATGTCCAACACAGGAAACTGGATGCATATTCGATATCAGTCTAAGCTTCAAGCCCGGAAAGCCTTAAGCAAAGATGGAAGAATTTTTGGTGAATCTATCATGATTGGTGTCAAACCGTGTATAGATAAAGTAAGTTAACAGCTGCTTTTATTTAAATATAAGGCACTCTGCTTTTGGGCTTCCTGTTTATTTTCCCTGATTTCTTTTTTTTTTTTTTTTTTCCTGCTGAGAAGGATCACTATTGGAAACCTTTGTGCTGCTTGGACATTTTAATGTGCAGGAATGTATTGCGGTGCAAGATATGAAGTGGAACCATAACATAAGAGACAATTGAGATAAGAGTTTCCCAGAATGAATTTCTGTCATTTAGGGGCTGCAATAGATATGTGATAGCAGATTAAGACTGTTATTCCTCCTAACTGTCCCTCTTTTTCGTGTGATTATTAATCTGATTCTGGCTTTTCAGTTTATCTTAGTAGATTAAACTGAAAATTTGTTAGCAAGACAACCTACCCCCACAAAAACATGTTCCTATCTTTTAAGTAGTGGTTGGAGTAGGAATGGCTGTATTACAGTCTAATTTTATAATGAGCTGTTAGTTTCTAGTTGACAATGCCCTGACTGTTAATTCCTACAGCACTCTGCACTGAGTACTGTACATTAGTTTAAGCAAATTACAGCCATTCTCTTATAGTTCACAGACTTTGTTTTTTTGGTCTCCTCTAAGGATAAGTGATGAAAAGAGTAATGTAAGCTTTCAAATGTAAACCATTCTGAGAAAGCGACTCTAGAAATTGAGCTTGCAATTATTTCAGTTTTAATCAGTTTGAAACTCAGTTCTTATACTGATTAAAATTATGAAACAAACATACTTGAGGGCCCCTTTCCTCTGTGGGCTTCTGGTAGGATTTGTAGTCTCTTCTTACCTAATTTACTGTTTTGTTGTCCAGTTTGTATCTATGACTCAATTGCCTATAAGCTGAAACTCTAGAATTAATGATCTAAGACATTTAATTGTCAGGTATCTGATCTTTGTTGCTTTTGAATTTTCATTATGTCTTTTGTGGATAGTGTCCACTTTCAAATACCAACAAATAAACCCATAAGCATTAATCTGTATTTTTCTAGGCGAGAGCGTATTCTGAAGACTAATCTGTTTGAGGGTTTGGCATCAGTCTGTAAAACTCTTCCTTGCAATTGGAAATTAGATATTGATGGGTTTGACACCAGTGCTTAGGCTTCTGATTTAAAAGTAGCAGTTAGTTCCCCTTGTGTTGAGTCAGCTGCCACCCACACTGGACACTAATCGTGTCCTGTGTTTTGGATAGCCATCTCCTGACAGATGTGCTTCTGAATTTCTGCTGTCTTTAGGCTGGCTGAATGCTGTACTCCACTGAGTAAATGCAGCAAACTGGGTTTCCCCAGGCTGGATGTCATTTCCCATCTTGTTTCCTATGTGTTCTTGTGGAACTCGTGGTTCCCATCAAGTCACTCGCTGCCTCTTCTGTTCTACATGCATTCACTTCTAACCATAAGCTTACAAAAATGGAGCATTCTGACTCCTTTTATAGCATTTGCTAAGGGGACTGAGTGAAACTCCTTGCCAGATTGAATCTGAGCAAAAAGCTGCAAGTTGGTAAAGGATTGGAGACTCTCCTGTACAGATCAGGTGAAATATTTTAGAAGTATTTAGTAAGAGGATGTTATGCTACTTATGTTGGTGACCCGCTTAATGGATGAGCAAAAGGCTCTGGGTGTTGTCTACCTGGACTTCAGTAAAGCCTTTGATACTGTCTCCCATAGCATTCTCCTAGAGAAGCTGGCAGCTCATGGCTTGAACAGGTGTACTGTTCACTGGATAGAAAACTGACTGGATGACTGAGCCCAGAGAGTTGTGGTGAACGGAGTTAAATCCAGCTGGCGACCAGTCACAAGTGGTGTCCCCCAGGACAGTTCTGGGGCCAGTCTTGTTCAATATCTTTATCAATGGTCTGGATGAGGAGAGTGAGTACTCCCTCAGTAAATTTGCAGATGACACCAAGTTGGGTGGGAGTGTTGATCTGCTCGAGGGTAGGAAGGCTCTGCAGAGGCATCTGGACAGACTGGATCAATGGGCTGAGGTCAATTGTATGAGGTTCAACAAGGCCAAGTGCCGGGTCCCATACTTCGGTCACAACACCCCCATGCAACGCTACAGGCTTGGAGAGGAGTGGTTGGGAATCTGCCCAGCAGAAAAGGACCTTGGGGTGTTGGTCGGCATCCGGCTGAACATGAGCCAGCAGCGTGCCCAGGTGGCCAAGTAGCGCAATAGCATCTTGGCTTGTGTTGGGAATAGTGTGGCCAGCAGGAGTAGGGAGGTGATTGTGCCTCTCTACTCAGCACTGGTGAGGCTGCACCTCGAATACTGTGTTCAGTTTTGGACCCCTCACTACAAGAAGGACTACAAGAAGGACATTGAGTTGCTGCAGCATGTCCAGAGAAAGGCAACAAAGCTGAAGGGTCTACAGAACAAGTCTTACAAGGACCAACTGAGGGAACTGAGGTTGTTTAGTCTGGAGAAGAGGAGGCAGAAGGGAGACCTTATTGCTCTCTAACTACCTGAAAGGAGGTTTTAGCGAGGTGGGTGTTGGTCTCTTCTGCCAAGTAACTAGCAATAGGACAAGAGGAAATGGTCTCAAGTTGTGTCAGGGGAGGTTCAGATGGGGCATTAGGAAAAATTTCTTTACTGAAAGAGTGGTCAAGCATTGGAACAGCTTGCCCAGGGAAGTGGTGGAGTTACCATCCCTGGAGGTGTTCAAAAAACATGCAGATATGGCACTTCAGGATATGGTTTAGTAGGCATGGTGGTGTTGGGTTGACGGTTGGACTTGATGATCTCAGAGGTCTTTTCCAACCTTAACGATTCTATGATTCTGTGCTCAACTGGGCCTGAAAAAGGTTCCTTCCTGAAGTTTGCTGCAAGTCTTAGAATTTTTTATTTTCTCCACTGTTTCAAATTTGGCTGACATTTAGTTCATACAGTGAATAGATTACAATCTTCCACTACTTTGCAATGGTGTAATCCAACATACAAAGGATTGCAGTGAGGAAAATGCTTTGTGGTGCTCTGTACTGGCAGGCAATTTACCTGTGGTCTTTGCTGACTTGGAGATGTGAACATATTTTATCAAACAATTCTGGATAATAGATAATTCTAGATAATAAAGGTTCAAATACTGCTTTTTAGTATTTGTTTACATTATATTAATTCTCTTTTTAAGAGTGTGATGGAAAACTTTGAAAGAAGCTCTACATCCTCAGTGTCTTCAGTTTTCACTCCACCTACAAAATTGTTTGGCACACCAGTACAACCTGCAAATAATACTACAAGGATTTCTACAATGAGACCTCTTGCAACAGCATATAAAGCTTCCACTAGTGACTATCAGGTATTTTAAGGGAAATGGAAGCATGTGTTTCTTTGTGCTGTCTCCTCTTAGTTGTATGAGGCTGTATACACATTAACTTTAATGTGACCTTAAACTTTTTCTTCTCCTGTCATTTCTTTAAAGATGTGATTCAGGTACAAACTCGGTCTGTTCAGTCTGTAAAACAATAATAATAAAAAGAAATAAATTAATGACTTGTCATTTTTCCAGAAGTTAAGGGCTTGTTTTGAAAATCTTTCAAACATATTTGGTCAAAATATAGTAGCACTTAGGAAAAGAAAATGAAAGAACCTAGTTAGTATAAAAAGAATCAACTACATGTTGACTGATCCTCTTTATTTTCTCTCTTCCTCTTTCCCCTTGCCCTCTAGGTGGTTTCTGACAGACAAACTCCTAGGAAAGATGAAAGTATTGTATCTAAAGCAATGGAATATGTGTTCGGCTGGTAATATACAGGAGGAAGTAACACACTAAGTTGGTCGGGGTTTGAAGTATGCTACTGGCATCCGTGGTTAGTTGTATAACTACTGGTGGCAGTATGTCAACTTCCATCTCACCTGTTATGCCTTCAGTTAATTCAGCAGACATGTAGCTTGCACTTTAAATGATGGCAATGTAAACACAGTTTTAAAAACTGAGTAAGTGTAAATGTAAGTGCTTTTTTCCCATTTGTGCTCTGAATTGCATGATTGTAGAAAAAATATCAGCACTGACTTTTCCTCTGTAATTGCTTTCTGTGAATTACTTCCCTGTAAGTTGGAAATGTTTAAAATGGCAGCTTTCTTTACTGATGCCTTTTATTGTTTGTTTTTTTTCTGGAAAGGTGATGAGATACTTGCAGGAAGAACACTATGCACAGCTGGCTCCCAGGGACAGGGACTGTTCTTAGTATATGTGATTTTAATTTTTTTTATTAGGATTCATTACCATTGTATAATCTCTGGCATCATGTTCTAAAAGTCATAGCAAGCTTTTAACTCTCTATTTTATTAATAAAGCTAAATAAAGTTAAGTTTTTCTTAGGTTGTTTTTCAAACAAGTGTGAGTTCTATTAGTAAAAACTATTTGCAGTACTCTTAACTGCTAAGTATGATGCTGCCTTATGTTTACTGAAGTGTTATCAGCAAAGCAGATGCTGCTGATTTTTACTGAAGTAGTACCAAGCATTGTTAAAACTAGCTAATGTTCAAATGTTGTCTCCATGGGTAATTTATAGCAGTCTGCACTTAACTGGTAACAAACCATAGCATTCTAAGCTATAAAATGTTGAGCTGAAATCGCTGAATAGAAAAATGCAATGTGTCAGTGATCAGAGCTGCTTTCATTTCAAGACTCTTCTAAGAAATTTTCTCTAAGGTATTGGCTGAATGATGTTTTGTTTTGTTTTTTTTAAATGAACTTCCTCCCCCTTGAAGTTTTGTTTTTTTTAAATGAACTTCCTCCCCCTTGCAGTTTTGTTTTGGAGGTAAGCCTCTCAAGTAATCATGTGTCATGTAAACTCATAGTCTTCAAGATAAAGGTCTGTTTCATCTGGGAAGAGAGCAATTTTTTCTCCAATACTTGGGAATATACATGCAACTATTACATTTTTGATTTTGTGGCTCTGTTACTGTGGATCAACATCAACATTTTAGTTTGGGTCAGTAGTGTGTCAGGTGGATATCCAATCATACCTATTTCCATGCTTTGCTTTACAGTTTGGCCAAAAGTTCTTCAGCTGCACTTCTCTGATGAAATTAGATGAAAAGATTAGTCCAGGAGCATGCCTAATGTCCCTCAGATGCTAATAGGCATCCAGTTTATAGGATTAAGCTAGAGATAGTCCTGTGTAAAATTCCTAAAGCACTTAGTGAGAAGTCAGGTTTCTACCTCAAGGCACTTTGTACTTCATTGTATGCTTTAGAAGTAACCTATATACAGGCAGATTCAGAGATTTTTGAGGCATTTTACTGTGTGTGCTGGCTGGTGCTTTTGGAATATCATTTGCTACTCATCCATTTGCTTTTGATCAGAGGAAGCTGCTCACACCTCATTAATATCAGAACATGTTTTCTCAGAATATATCAGGCTTTTTCATAGTGAAAAATACTTGTCACGCAGATGACTTCAGAAAGAAAATAGGTAGTTCAGCTAGATTCTTGGTTTGCTAGTTGCTTTGCAGAATATAATTCTGGTGTGTTTCAGACTTGTAGTGATGTGTATAGGATTTAGTTCAGTGCCGAGTTTCAGCATCCGTGAAAGGATGGGAACGACTCTCACACGCATTGGTACGATGCACAGTCGGATTCTTTATTCTCCCGCTTGTGCAGTTATATACATTTTCCATATCTGCACACGCGATTACACTTATTCGGATAGGCTACAGACATAAATCACACGCTGTTCACATGCCTCACATTCCCTTATGATTGGTAACTATGCACTAATGCCAATAGCAATAGACTGCCTCCACGTCCTTGAACACATCTTGTTTTTGCTAACCCACTCCATGTGCACTATCAGAACTTTCTCAATGGCTATTCTTAGCTGTCTTTTCCAGCGGCCTGTTCAGTTATGCTGTTTTGCTTAAGCGGCCTGGTCGTGCTAATTCTCAAGCTACATCAACTCCAACAGTTCAGTGAAGTGATGAAGAATAAGATTGAACTTGGATCAAGTAAGTCAGAAGCTAACTACATAAGGAAGGAGCTGGAGCCAAAGTCACTAGTTTGGCTGACCTGTTTTACCAATAAGTACTAGATTTGGTGTCTTTTTTCCCCAGACCTTAGCCTTTTGTTTTTCATAATTTTAGGCACGATTTTACTAATAGGTCATTGCAACTTCCTGTAGAGCACTTGGGAGTAGTGGATATTGTTACTTTGCTCTAGAGGTAGTAAATAGGAGAAGAAAGTTTAGAACATATAAAGCTTTGTACTTCTGGACAGTAACATTAAGAAATTATCTTCATACGGCTTCTGCTGGTAAAGACTGCTGGTAAGACTTAATACGTTGTCTTAGTGTCAAGCACTAGTTAAACCCCAGTATCAATGATTTGGGCATAGTTAAGTGGGAGAACATTACAGGCTCACACTGCACAAACCACTGCACAACTTCATTGCAATGTGTTCCTGATAATATCGTTATTAATTATATGAGTGTACAGGGGCCGTGTGTGAAAGGGCAGAGGATATTGATAAATTTTTCATGTGTGAAGAGTCTCTGAAACACTTCGAAGGTCTTCAGGTAAACATTTTCAAGACTAGCTACTGTGTTTTGGTAGCATTGCATTTAAAAATCCACTTCTTCCCATTTGTTGACTATGTGCCTGCAGCTTTGCAATAAGGAAGAATTCTCTTCTAGCTGTAGCTAGATGTGGTTTACATTAAAACCAAAGTTATGGACTTCAGCTAGTGCTGTGTAACATTCATGAAGCTAAGTTCTGGCTTCAGTTGTGTGGGATTTCTTGTAAGACTGTGGACAACATTTTTCACAGGATTATGGCTGTAGTTTAAAATAAAACTGTCAAGAATACTTATTTTCTGTTGTCTGCCTCAAATACAAGCATGTTACTCAGGTATGTAATTCACTTCTAGTATATAGATCTGCACAGTTTTTAATTCTAGAAGGAATTGTCTTGTTTCAGTTGTAATTTCACTACAATTTTAACAGATAGCTTATTGGTAAAGACTATTATAACTTGGAGGTAATGGTTTTTTTTGTCCTCCTTTTTTTCCTCTCACCCCTCCTCAATTTAGCTTTCCAGTAACTTTCAGAGTGATATTTATTTGGGTAATCCCTGTACACGAACATAAAATGAAGATCAAATGTTAGAGTACATCATGTCTGCCTCACATTTCCAGTTGTAGGCGTGTACCTCCACTGTGTGGTAGTTCTTCAGAATTTTAATGAGAGGTTTAACTGATATTGAATGGAATATGGTATCTTAATTGTACTGTAATAAAACACAGTACATAAAGAGTACTATGGGAAAATAGCAGTGCTTAAATGTATCTTAGTTGAAGTACTTTCATAATAGAAGAAAGGACAAATTTACGAAATATCTTAATTTGGGAGTGATTCAAATTTCTAAATATTATTTTAATGAAATAGTTCTTAAACTTTATTTAAAATCTGAGCAGTATTCACTCCATTCCATGTTTTGGGATGGATAAATTGGCCAAATGATATTTTCTCAGAATATACAACGAAATCCATTTTGTATGAACATAATTGTCTTTTTTCTGATAGTCTGAGTACATGTGTAAAAATACAAGACTTGCATCAGTTTTCTTTAATTTGACTGTAGATGACCATATAACAGATGACTCTGCAAACATGTACTGCTTAAATATGTTTAGAAAATAGTAAGATGTTCAGATGTTAAATGAGTGAAAACAAAATAAACTGGCATACAGAGAACTCTAAATCAGGAGTTTGGTTTACAGAATTTCAGACTGCAGGTGAGAAGGTACTGGAATAAACATTGTAGATTTCTAGTAAAAACAGTCCTCAGGCAACTTCATGGCTTTCTGGTAGTGCTGCCTTTTTTTTTTTTTAATTGCTTGGACAAGAGTAAAAGGTGTTATTTTGATGTACGTGTCTCAGTAAGTGTCAAAGTGCAAACAGTGTTGACTGTCAAACTTCTGTTAGTGTTTACAAATGAGTTCAGTTGGTGAAGTTACCTTTAGAAATGAGTGCATAATTTGTAACATTGTAAAATGTTTTTGGTCTTTTATTAAGGAATCCTTTGACTCTAGTATGTTTTTGTGTAATGCATATAAACTGTGCTTCTATCAACAAAGTACGTAGAAAGGAAGTTTTAAAAGCGACAGCACTGAGGAAACACGGTAAATATTTAAAAGAAATAACGGCAAAATAAAAGCAAGCAACGGGGTAAATGTATAAAATTGAAAAGGACAGGCATTAAGGAAATATAGGGGAAAAAAAAGAAGTAACAAAATAACAAAGGAGGACAGAAAACAAAAAGAGATGGAGAATTTACAAAGCTAGGTCGCTCAGGAAACATAAGAAATAATTAAAATATAACAACACCAAAGAGGATAGAAGCAGATGGAAAATTTTAAAAGAAATGAGAATTTAGGAAATAAGCAAAAATTAAAGTAGCTATGGTAAACAAAATCAGATACTTAGAAAGAAAATGTAAAACATGACGGCGCTAAGGAAAAACGAGAAACAAAAAAATAAAGGTGACAAACGACATAAAAGTAGAAAATTTAAAAAATTATGAAGACTAGGGATAATAAAGCAAAATATTAACAAGAAGAAAGCAAACTAAAACAGACGTAGAAAGAAAAGCTAAAAAGCCAGGGCGCTCAGGAAAGAGAAGAACTAACTATAAAGATAGACGGCAAAGGGAAAAAAGCAGACATAGAAACAAACATTTAAATAGAGAGTCGCATTAAGGAAATACAGGGAAAGAATAAAAAATAGGGACGGCAAACTAAAACAGATGCGGAAAGAAAACCTAAAAAGCAACAGCGCTAAGGAAACACAACAAATAATTAAAATAAAAGACAGAGATATAAAGACAGCAAACGGGACAGAAGTAGAAAAATCTAAAAGCAAAGGAGACTAGACAAATAAATGGGAAAAATTTTAAAAGCGATGGCGAACTAAAATGGAGATGTAGAAAAAAAAACCCCAAAAAGCGAGGATGGTAAGGAAAGGGGGCAA